GTATTTACTCTCTGCAAATTGTGTGGGTCCACTGAGTCATGTTAGGCTACGAAATATTCTTCTGTATGCGAAATTCACTCGTAAAATGTTTCTAAAATATAGACCTTAGATCCCATATTATATACCCTACAGATTTTTGATTCATTGAGTACCTACTTCATAGTGCAGGGTACAAAAAGTTCGTCCCGACCGAACTCAACTACCCTGTTTCTAATTGAAACATGCATTTTGAACCGATGCATAGAAATTTTCCTAAAAAATCGTCCTCTCGAAAATTCCCAATTTAATATACATACCCTTCAGCTAAGCTATGTAGCTAAGAATTATCTCACGAGACTTTTCGATAACAAAAAATTTCGCACCTCTCCAATATTGAATAAAATGAAAACAAAACAAAAACTTCCGAGGCCACTGGCCATTATCGCGGGTGGCTCTAAAAGTGAGACTCGTCGAGATAAGATTAGAACAAAATCCAAACTAGACTGACTTATCTAACTTCGACATCTATTTGGACGCATAAACATCTACATACATACCTATTTAAAATTCCATTTAATTGAACTGTTCTTCATGCCGACAGAATCAAAATTTCACCCATCGGTATTTAATTGCTCTTTGGCCTATCAGCCAGTTACCTGCGTTGTTATTAAATTTCAAGTTATTTGCAATGCTATCTCAATATATTGGTCGTGTTGTGGTGTTGTATCGCGTGGAATAGTTTGGAATGTAAATAACGTTAATTTATAACCTGGCGTTTATGGCTAGTGGGTGTGTTTGAGGATTGAATGTCACCAACATTTTTTTGAATGCGTAAAATTTAGATTTCTAAATCGATGAGAGGAAGTGATACCTAACCTCAAAAAATTGCTGTATTTTGGAAATAACAATGTTGGGGTTTTTATACCCTTCACCACACTGTGGTACAGGGTATTATGCCTTTGTGCATATGTTTGTAACAGGCAAAACTAATCGAGATAGACCCATGGTTGCTTTTGAGAATATGCATAGAATCACTTTCTGAGTCGCATGCATGTCCGTCGGTCCGTCCGTCGATGTATTTTTGTTAACAAAGTACAGGTCGCATTTATGATCCGATTTGGATGAAATTTGGCACAGGTCACTTAATTGGTCCAAGGGCGAACCCTATTGAAATTGGAGAAAATCGGTCCACGTTTAGGTCCACTTTTTAAGTCGATTTATGCATGTCCGTCCGTCTGTCTGTCCATGTTAAATTGTAAACAAAGTACAGGTCGCATTTATTATCCGAATTGGATGAAATTTGGCATACGTTACTTATTTGGCCCAAGGACGAACCCTATTGAAATTGGGAAAAAATCAGTTCAGATTTAGATATAGCTCCCATATATATTTTCGTCCGATTTAAGGTAAATGGTGCACCAAAGTCCCTATATATCTTTTGATTTGCACGAAGTTTGGCACAGCGTACTTAATTAAGCCTAGAATGATGTGTGCTAAGTTTCATAAAAATCGGTTCAGATTTATATATAGCTCCCATATATATTTTCGTCCGATTTAAGGTAAATGGTGCACCACGTACTGAATTAAGCCTAGAATGATGTGTGCTAAGTTTCGTGAAAATCGGTTCAGATTCAGATATAACTCCCATATATATTTTCGTCCGATTTAAGGAAAATGGTGTACCAAAGTCTCTGTATACCTTTCGATTTCCACGAAATTTGGTACAGCGTACTGAATAAAGTCTAGAATGATGTGTGTTAAGTTTCGTGAAAATCAAAAATGCGACGTCTGTTAAGATTCATCTGTTGAATTTACCCAAAGTGGTGAAGGGTATTTTATGACATAGCATTCAATTTTTATGTAGTTAGTTCGATTACACTTTCATTTAATTTTAAATATTTGATTTTTAATCAGCATGTCCTCACAGGAATGTTTGGGAAACAGTTGGATTATAAATATACAAATGTTCATGCCCATATACTTACATATTTGTCTATGATGGTGAACAGTTTCACGTAATTGTAGATGGACGCGTGAAATACTTTGAGTTTAATTTAATGTAAATTCGTTTCTATTGGAGACGAGAACACGCGAATGACAGATTGTTTTTATTCTAATCAGCTGATTTGTAAAATCAGCTGTCATTCGCAAAAATAGCTTAATATTTGTTAAAGCGGCCGGGCCGATTTTTTCTACGCTCCACCATAAAGTGGACATTTAAAATACCTGCAATCGTTCGGCACATTTATAAGTGTCGGACTATGCCATAGTACATTTTTGTTAGCAGTATTTTACACCAAATGAGAACCAATTCGGTTAAAAAACGCGCCTAATACCGAATAATGGTGTTACGGTTATATGATGGGGACCAATATTGATTGATTTTCGGTTGGAATCTTTGCTACCCAATAACAATTCAAAATATTAGGTTGGCGAAAAAGAAATCCCTTATGAAAATGTCGATAAAACGTAGAATGGAATGAAATAGACACATTTCTTAAACGGATGGTAACTGGAGATGAGAAATGGATCACATACGATAACCCTGTGCGAAAACGATCGTGGTCAAAGAGCGGTGAAGCACCTCAAACGATGGTCAAACCAGGACTAACGACAGGAAGGTTCTGCTATCCATTTGGTGGGCCTGGAAGGGAATTTTTATTATTATGAGTTGATTCCATATGACCCAACGCTAAATTCTGATATCTACTGTCAACAACTGGCCACACCAACAGGAGAGGTGTTGTGTTCCACCAGGACAACGCTAGGTCACACACATCAAGAGTGACTCGCCAGAAACATCGGGAGTTTGGTTGGGAAGTTATAATGCATCCGCCACACAGTCCCAGAGTCACATCGTTTCAGAGTAGTCCTGCTACTAAAGCCAGGCAACGGTGCCAGTAAAGGTGAATCATACAGGCCGATTTAACTTTTGTCACCAGTAGCGAAGACTCTTGAGGCACTAATCCTCTCCAGCACCTTGCATGCAATCTCCACACATATAAGTCGAAGACTTAACCAGTACCGGTCGAGTCATAGAACAGTGTTTGTAGCACTTGGCCTATAAAGAGGCTTTGTCACCCTGTTTGAGGACATCGAGATCTCTTGCCTCTGAACAAGTTTGAAACTTTGGATCAGTTATATGTGTGGACGTCAGTCGTACGTGGAGTTCCCGAAATATGAAGTCCAAACCCCGTAGAGTGAAGCAGGGAGTTCCTCAGGGTAGATTATTGTCTCCGGTACTGTATAACCTCTATCTTTCCGTTAGTCCACGTCCTCCAGACGGCATTGAGATCGTTACATATGCATATGATGGTACAATCATGGCGTAGGGTTCTATCGTCGATTTACTAGACTTCTTCCACGCGAGGAATATGAAAATATCCCCCACGAAATCTTCGGCCACATCATTCACCACATGTCAGTGAATTTGAAAGCCAAAATTCTCAGGATCACTTTCGGCAGCATTTTCAAATCGTCCACGCTAACCACAGATATCTGCAATAAGTTGAAAAGTAGGAACAAAAATTCTCGAGTCGTTTGCCGGCAGCAGTTGGAGCGCAGATAAGGAAATTTTGTTGACCTCTTACAAATCGATAGGTCGTTCTGTGATTAGCTATACGGTACCGGTGTGGTCAGCGAGTACTACGCAATGAAGAAAAACGCCGACCTGAGAACTGCATAGGGTGCCTCCTCATGACAACAGTGGGCCTCTTCATGAAGAAAAATATCCTATCATATGGTAATAAAACAACCCCACCCAGTTATGTCAGAAAGGATCTGGATGATCTAGAGAGAGGTCCAACGTTATAAAATGAGCATCTAGATCAAGTTGACTATCGCACAGGTTTAAAAAGCATTTATACTGATGGAGTTCCGCAGCGCTGAATGAATAGAGTGAATGCCGTCCTCGGAGCTATACTACTTTATTAGGACTCCAGTGAATATTTCGAGGAGTTTGCAAAGGGAATGACAAATTTTATATAACCTTATGGTAGCGGGTATAAAAATTGTTTTGGATCCGACGACAATAGAGTCATATCTACCCATACATACCCATACATTTCAAATGTATGGGTATTTCGACATAACAAGTGGAGGTTATATGCCTTTTTTTAAAGGTAGGACAACATCTTGAAATTGTATTTCATATCTTTAACGGTTTGGTATATATGTTACATGTTTTTAGTTTAGCTTCCCATATATGGTTAGTAGGGCGAAAACATAGTTGAAGATTCTAAGTAAACCAGTTTTTGTTTTTGTGATAAGAAATCGTTTAACATACTCAGATTACAGACATCAACAAATATAAATTATTGAGAATTGTTGTGCCTATGTCTACAGAGTCGTCATAAATGAGACTGATCTCTAATCATAATATTGAACGGTGTGAAAAATTATGTCTAACAAAACAAATGAATCGGTTTATCTCTATTTTACGTCAAAGAAATGTGATAAAGGAAAAGGGCAATGTTAAAGAGTTGGTATAAATAATTTATTAGTCCACAACAGTGAAATCTACGATTCAAAACGAACATATCGATCAATAGAGCAGTGGAAATATGATACGAAACGACCTGAGTCTTAAACGGCGACGATTGTCAGTTCGTATGACCCAAATACGCAAGGACTTTATTTGCATCTGTGCCAAGTGAAAACGGCGAAAATGAATGAAAACATTTTTTTTTTTTTTTTTGTAATTGATCGAAAAAAGTTTTTTTTTATAGAGACACAAATTTTTCAATGACTGAAATTTTATTTTCAAAAAACAAAAAATCCAAAATACTCCAAACCAATTTTGAAAAATTTCAACTTTATATTTTGATACGCAATGCGTACTTGGGTAACATTCATTGATATACATGAAATTAACATTTGAGGTGAATAAATTCGTAAGCATACGCATGAATTTAGGTACGACCCTAAAATATAAAAAATATATTTATAAATTACAAAAAAATTGTACAAAACACATTTTTTATTTCATTTAGATCTTCCTTTTACACATTCATTGCAGTGCATTACTGTATATCAATTTCCATATAACCATCGGCATGCGTTAAATGTTTCGCCTCCAATTGTGAACCTTCTTCGACAATGAAATTGGCACCAACTAAACAATTTTTAAGTTTTGTACCCTTTTTAACAACAGCTTTGGGACCAATAATACAATTATCAATATTGCAACTGAAAAGAGAATAGAGAAAATATAATGTAAATCAATTTTAATTATAAAATATTTAATTCGCTTACCCCTCTTCCACAATAGCATGGGCCATAATTAGTGACTTATTAACAATATTTTTGGGGTTAATAAAGCAATTTGGTCCAAAGACACTGAAATTCAATGATGTCTTCTCCGATAGCTTGGCATTATCGGCCACAGCAATTTCCTTGGTTTGTGTTGAATTGACAACTGCATTAGGTGATACTAAAGGAAGTTCCAAACCACCACAGAGTAACGGCCAAATTGTGGGAAGCTAAAAGAAATAGAAATATAAGTTATTACTTTTCTTAGAGTTCTGCGCATATTTTTTTCTCTTTTGAGTCGACCTTAATGATACAAGTTTTGTAATGAAAAGGAAAGTCAGAAGAAGAACCTACGCACACACCATTATGCGACGCTTTTTGTCGTTGGTAAAGCGGCTCACCAGGCATATTGGGGTATGTGGCTTTATAAAGGTCGTATGTTGGTTACTTGTATTTATGTCGAAGTCGATGCGAATTAAATTCAAATTTGTCAAGGTTTGACATTTGTCTTCACTCTAGAAACAGTCCTTTTCGATAATCGAAAAAAGTCAATAATTACAATATTCTTGCAGGTCCTGGAACAGAGCCTATGTTTTAATCCTTACCTTTTGATTGATGGCAAAGAACGACAAGGTGGTGTTGACACGCACACCAATTGTCTCCTTAGGTGCCTCCAGGGCATAACATCTCAATAGATCACCATTATATAGTGGCTTTGTTCTATTGTCATTATAGAGAGTTACTTTGAATATGTGTTGTTCTAAATTTGAGGTTGGGATGAACTGCAAAAAAATTGTATTATTGAAATAAATATTAAAAATTGAATATTCCTCTGCAATACTTACATCAAATATATTATCGCCTTGTTTACCCAATTCAGATTGTGTATCGGATACAGGATTTGTAGTTGAATGTCCACTTGATTTTGCCATTTGCTTCTTAATTAAATATGGCAAAAATTCACCCTTTAATGTGGAGAAATTTTCGTTCTGCAAAGTAATAATAAATAAATGAGTTATATCCGGATCTGCGCTGTATTCGATCCACACACAGTTCGAAACTCTAGAATTCTAGCGCCTTTCAGCCGTCTGAGGCAGATATTTACACTATACTGATTTATGGGATCAGTGACTGCGTCTACGTGCTCTCCTCACCCAGTTGCAGTTTTCAATTCGGCATTCTGATAGACTAAATAATTCTCTATCTATCCCGTAATGCCCATATCTTTTGATCCACAACAGATTCCAGCACATATCGCATCATTTTGGAAAGTGCAAATTGTAATCTAGCATTGGAGTCAGGTTTGGTGAGGGACTATATATAGTTCGACATTTAGGGAGTTTTTCAAAAAAAAAAAAAAAAATAGGGGCTCAAAACCCTTAACTTAGCTTTGATATGGTGTCCATTTTTATTAATCGGATCCGTAGAACCGGGTGCCCGATCCCGAACTTCCGGATCAAAAAACCGGGTACCCCCTAAGAAAATATATTAGGTTGGGGAAAAAGAAATCCATTATTTTTATGTGAACTATAGGACTTTATTTAACATGCTTCGGAATGTCCGATTTGGGCCAAATATGCACCGTTTTGTTGTTGTATCAGCTTGTACTGCTGTGTATTTCTTCTTATTCTCCTTAACCTGGTTCTGCCTCTAACTCGAAGTCCAGGAAGGCTGCGACCTGTATAGGTTGAGTCCAGAGAGAAGATGGGGTTAGGTGAGTGGGTTTGGATGGGCAGTTGAATAGGTGTAGCGTGTCATGTGGTCCGTTACCACATGCTACCTCTCCATCAATTCGGGCCCAATATGAATTGAGGCTGCTACACCATCCAGATCTTAGTTGTGCCAAGACCACTCTGGTTTGCGAGGTAGCTCGTGCTCTTCTGCAGCTATCATAGGTGGGTGATCTCCGAGGATGGTTTTCACACGATATTCTTGAATTCCTCAACTGCAACCGTGTGAATACGATTTAATTATGCTTGACATCCCTGTTGATCTAGAGGCTCCCTTTTGTATCTCTCTCCAGATCATGGAGATTTGTTGCCATTTTAAAGGTAACTTCATCCTCTCTCATAAAAGTCCTGCTCCTGCAAAAAACTCTAGTATGTAGTCGATTTTCACAATCCTCCCTAGATACCAATTTTTTATCATTAACGAAATTTTGCAATGCATGAAAAATAGGATAACAGCTTGGTGCTAAGTCCGGACAGCATTAAAACTTCCCAACCAAGCTCCCGAAATTTCTGGCGAGCCACTGTACTTTCCTGTTGGCCAATTCTGGCCGTTTCTGATCAATTGCTATCTTCAAACGGTCCAGTTGTTGACAGTATAGATCAGAATTTAGCGTTTGACCATATGGAAGCCACTCATATTAAATAATCCCCTTCCAGTCCCACCAAATGCATAGCAGAACCTTCCTGGCCGTTAGTCCTGGTTTGACCACCGTTTGAGGTGCTTCACCGCTCTTTGACCACGAACGTTTTCACACAGAGTTATCGTATGTGATCCATTTCTCCATCCGTTTAAGAAATGGGTCTATCTCATTCCGTTTTACCTAGGTTTCGCAGATGGAAATTCGATCTATCCTATTTTTCTGTTAATTGCCGTAGCTTTTTTTTGAATCCAAACATCAAACTTCTTTTTTAATCCAGATTTGTGTAAATGGTTTAAAACAGTTTTATGGTCAGTTTTTAGCTCCAGGGCGATGTTACGACTGCTAACATGCCGGTCAACGTCGATCATTTCACCGATTTTATAGACATTGTCGACGGCTGGCCGAATAGATTTCTTTTTTCCCCCAACGCTTAATTAGGGTAAAATAACTACCTTTGGAAAAATTCAAACAAATCTGATCGTTTTACCTAAAATAAAGTTAAGCCACATTTTGGATATTTGTCGAAACATGGACCTACCTGCCTACCAAAGATTTTTTACTCTCCTAAAACTCCCGCTTATAATAACATATTCTATTCCACTTACTACTTTATACATTTTCAATATACAACTTTCCACTTACCTTTTTCAAAAATTCCAGCACCCATTTTTTCATAACATAAATATGAGAATCGGTCATTCGTGAATAGATGGTCATTTTACCATTTTTACGCAGCAGATGAGCATTTACATTCATAACTTCTTCAAAATCACTGGCGGATGCCAAAAACAACAATCGCCTAGTCTCCGGATGTATTCCGATTAAATCTCTTTCTGGCTTATGTTTAGTCTTTGGCCCGGGCAGTGTTACATCCGATTCAAAACCACTTTTAAATAGCAATGCCGTAAATGAAGCATCATGTTGACGGAATTTGTTAATCAATGGAAACAGACTAACATTGGAAACAATGTCACAACTGAGGACAAGGAAATCCGATTGTATTTTATCGTGAACATAACGCAAACTATCGGCCGTTCCAAAATCACTATCACTTGGTATGCTAACAAAATCCAATTTCATTTTCAGTGATGTGCGCTCCAATGCCAGCTGAATTTCACTGCGTTCACTTTCCAGGACAATAACAATGGCCTCTGTAATGAAAGGATTGTGCGTGTTAGAGTTCCTCACATTTCATCATCCAATAACTTACCTTGAAAATTGTGGGTCTGCAAAAGATTTAAAGGATACCACAACAATGGATATGGACCAATTGGTAATAGACATTTTGGTGTTTTACCCAACACTTCGGGCAAACGAGTACCACGACCGGCAGCCAAGACAACAGCCTGAAATTCTTGTGTCACCATTTTTGTCTATTGTTCCAGTTTAGATTTCCCTAAATTATCCAAATTATAGCCAACCGATCGGAATATGCAATTCTTCACATGCACGCACACACACACCATCGAAGGTATAAAATGTGTTTACGTTGGCGAAATGTCAATATCAGCTGTTTGTATACGTCTCAACGACTGCGTTTAAATAAAAGCAGTGTAGCGACGCCGTCAGCGTACGTTGTGGATGGAAATTATATGCCATAATTTTATAGTAAAATAATTAAAACTTTTTTATGGAAAAATTAATATATACTCAATATACATATTAGATTTTTAATATTTTTTTAAATCAAATCTGGGACTTACCTCGTATTTTAAGGAATTTTTTATTTTCCATGTTTTGATTATTTAAAGATACCAGATGAAAAGAAAATTAAAATGACATGGTATGAATAGTTTAGACAAAAGTTTAGTACCCATTTGCTCTATATAATATATATATTTTTTAATTTCGCACATTGTGTGGGGTGTACCACAATTACTGAACCGATGAGTTCCATTTTCGGGTCTGTCATGAATTTAGAAGATTTCAAATGTTTAACCCTTTAGGTGAGAGTTACAAGAAGGAGTGGAATGGTTTTATCCTCAGGCCTGTTTAAGGTTTGGTAAAGTTATTATGATATGTAAAAGTTTTCAAAATGTTGACCAGAGAGGCGCACCGATCTTTTCCATCTTCAAACTTGATCTGGATGTGTAAGATTACCACAATGTACAAAGTTGGTATCTAATCGGATATCCCTGATATTGTACATTTATTGTTCTTGGAAAGTGCGGCCATTTTGTTCTTGGAAATTGCGGCCATCAGAACTAACGTGCGCACAAACGAACAAGAATGCTATTTCTAAATCGACTCCAAATAGTTTGAAATAGATTTTGAACAAAAAGCAATAATCCGATATTTTAATGAGGCACATTTTTGTCGTATCAAAGTGTATATATTCTCATAACATTAAGTTTGAGAGTATAATCAGATATTTTAGGTTCATATAATAATTTGATATTTTACCTTCATTGCTATTAAAACGAAGTTATTATTTAAAGTTTATTACAAGGTTTCCACCATCTGGAAATCATTCGTTCACTTTTAACAATATATATGGCTAGGGAAATTTCTTACCCACTCAACTTGTTACTGATTAATTTTTATTGGATAGGTTGGTCTTTGATGGCGATTCCCCATGTGCTAACATTTTCAGTCCATTTTATTGGAGTCTGTTAAACTTTATGAACGGTAAATAGAATACAGCAAATAAAAACAATTTATTTCATTTTTTCAAATGCCTCAAATAGAAAAATCCAAAAAGAATTAACTTATAATTTAGATATATTCTTCCTATCTTCTCTGAAATTATTGTGCGATAATATCTTATCTATTGTAAAATAATACAAACCATAGCGTCCAGAATATCCAATCTTCTTTTCAGTCCATTTTCTTGGAGTATTCGAAATGAAGAAGTAACATTTATCTTACTTGTAATCCTTTAGGTTCTTTCTGGTAAACGTTTATTAATATGTTTAAACATTATTTATTTTTAAAACCATTTAAATTACATTATTCCTATCAACTGAACTAAACCACTTGTCACATGCTAGCGTGTAATGAAATGAACAGACAAACATCAACTGAAATACATTGCTGTCATTGATATGTTCATAGCAGAACATCCCTAGAGTCCCCCAAGAGGGGACAATAAATAAAGTTGCACATCAATATGTGCAAAAAATGCATAAAAGGGTGAGAAAATGACATTCCCAACCAGTTTGCATCATTAAAAGAATTTATTAAAGTGAAACTTCCGGTCGCCATACAATTACATTTTTTCACACAAGAAGTGCAGATAATGTCCACATTAAATTTCAATTCTTTGGTTCAAGGGATTTTCTGGTATATTAATGTTGATTTGACGGAATTTAAATTGTGCGGGAATATGATGAAAAAAATTCTGCAAAAAATATTATTAATGAGTTTCCTCTTGAAAATTAAGAAATTCTGAATAAATAAACCATTTTAAAATTAATATATGAATGAATTATTATGTTTTTTTTTATTACATAGTAATATTAGTTATAATTTAATTGATTATTAATACTACTAATTATCAATATATTCAATATTATATATTTTACGGATGTCCTTTTACTTTGAATGTAGTTTTCCGAGGGTAAGGCTGTATGCGAATAGTTGTATTTCTTCCAGCAACTGACGGTTTATTATTGGGCCATTTATTTGCTCGACTATGGGTTTCTGAAAAATTATAAACAAAACAAAAATCGTCATAAATATAACTATTTAAAAAATAATATACAATTATAATAATTAAAATAAGCAATAAGGTCAAAAAGAATTTATCGCATGCTTCATATTATATAGACACATATACAGTCCAAAAGTGGACCAATGGTCCCATTTTTTATTTTATTTACAAAATTTTTCATATGTTGAAACATTGCGGTGGTGTTACAAGAAAGAGTAAATGTAAATGTGAATTAATCCTCATAATCTTATACGTCATCGCATGATATTGTATCTGTCCGTCCATCCGTCTGTTGATGTTAAATTGTAAACAAAGTACAGATCGCATTTATAAACCGATTTGGATGATATTTGGCAAAACTCATTTATTAGGCCCAAGGATGAACCCTATTGAAATTGTTGAAAATCGGTTCAGATTTAGATATAGCTCCCATATATATTTTCGTCCGATTTAATGTAACCAGTGTATATGTCTTTCATTTGCAACAAATTTGACATAGCGTACTGAATGAAGTCCAGAATGGTCAGTGCTATGTATATCGCTTTCTCGGTTGTTCTTTCCGCGATTTTATCAATTTCAGAGTTTTGGTTTTATTTTACAAAGTGTTTAAACAACAATCACCTCTGTTTTTAACAAATTACTTTACTTTTTGTCATTCGGTTCGATTAAATCAACTAATCATGCCAAGAATTGGCCCCCATATGAATGAATCGTTTACTGTTAGAGTAACTCGTTTATTTAATATACTCCCAAATAATTTAAAGCTATTCTGTTATTCCTATAACTTATTCAGGAAAAAAATTCTTCAACACTATTCCGAAAATCTGTTCTAACTTTTTTATATACATTTTAAATCATTTATATGATTTTGCCTTACTTGATTTGCAAAAATTGATTATCATTTTAAAGCTACGTAACAACCACAATAGTATTCAATGTATTGTATTTATAAATTTATATTATTTAATATTTTACATTTGAGTAGCCATGATGTCACGAAGTTTTTTAAAATGCATCTGCATAATTACATTCATAATGTTTTATTAGTGTTAACATCATTTATTTATAATAACTTGTTTAAAAGTGGATATATTTGAGTAGTCATGATGTAATGCAGATTTAAACATGTTTAAAATATTTATTATATTATATTTATAAGAATTTGTTTTAGAGTAGCTATGATATAAGGTGGATTCTTTGTAATTATACATAAATTGGCCATTAAATTGTAATTTGGCTTCAATTACAAAGTAAATAAAGACAAAAAAAAAAAAATTTTGGGTTCAAATTTAGATATTGCTCCCATATATCTTTTATTCCCATTTTATGTTCTCTTAGGGGGAACACTGACATGAAATTGTTAGGATACATATGTAGATTATACCCAAAGTGGTGAAGGGTATCATATGTGAGGCAACAAATGGTCAACAGATCCTGAATGCAGGAGTTCAAAAACCATCCAGCCGGAATTCTTTAGCCGTATAACTTCTTCACTGCTGCCTCATAGTAAGAGGGAGATAACAATCATTGTGGGGATCACAACAGGCCACTGCAGGATCTCTCACTTCAAAATTGGGCGTTAACGGCTGTTAAAGATAGCCGAACACCCGAACAACCTATCCTTCGCAACAGCCAGCATGAGAGATTGATGAAGATTTCTTAATCGGTACGAAATTATCTGAACCTTCTTGTTCCAAAACCACTTGAGATCTAAAACTGATATTAGGATAAAATAGTCTTAAGGCTGAGGATATAAACACCCTTTAAACTGTGGGAACAATAAGTTTGATATTCCGATTTCCGGTACATTTTTGACGTGTGATGAACTAGCGTTTTTGTTATTCCCCCCATATATTGCTTTGCTAATTTGTCTTACCTGGATTACATGGAGTGCTTTTTGATTGACCACTGGAATCATCGACACTATGACTATAATGAGGTAATCAAATTTTAATAGAATATAAATGCCATAAAAATATAATTTTAATTAACTTACGCTGCCGAACTAGCAGTACTGCTAGCTCCCATGTTAACAAGTTTTTGGAATATAGATCTGAAATCCAAAAAGCATAATTTTATTATATATAAAAAAGAATAATTATAATAACTCACTTTTGTGGCACACTCTTAATACGATATGTCGCACGAGCCAATTTCGGATCAATTTGCATTAGTTCACGATATTGTTCTTGTGATATTTCATCATTACGATCGGGTATAATATATTTACGAATTTCCTTTAACGCGTACGCCAAACGGGCATATGCCTCTGCCGGTGGTGCGATCGTACCAATTTCTACATATAGATCTCTATTTAAATGATTAAAAGCAGGATCACCAGATTGTCTTAACTCATCTTCACGTTCCTGATCACGCATCGAGTTACGACCTTTGATTGCAATACTACATAGAGTCTCCTGATGTAAACGTTTGAGAGTATTACCTTTGGGTCCTAATATTTTTCCTTTAAAATTAAATTTTGGATATTCTTTTACGGGTATGTAGACGTCTTGAGTTATCTTAATGGGTTTTTGTTCATAGACATCTGCCTTGAATTCTTTGCCGGGTATGCGACCGGTTGAATAAACACGATCAATTGCTGAAAAATTGAAAACAAATACAAATATGAATTTTAATTGTGTCGGGAAAAGCGAACATAATTAAGTATAGATTACGATGAGAACAAATTTTGGCCTAAATCAAGTTCCAGGACCG